CAGTAAATATGACTATTACTCTAATTTGCACATCAACCATTAGTGCCAATTATGAAACAGTCTATCACCTTCTGCATTGTGAAATTGATAAAATATGCAATCAAGATGCATTGATGGTTACAGGTGGCAAATGTGGAAGTGGGAGACAAGGAGGATCATTAATTGGGAAAGATGGCCTTGGTGACAGACATGACCGTGGAGATCACTTAATAAAAATTTACAAGACCAACACCTTCTTTGTTGAAAAAAACCTTTTTTTTCCCAACAATGTGAATGGTGGCTTTAAACATGGACCTCACCTGATGAAAAACACTGAAATGAAACGGACAACATCTGTATCATCAACTCAAACAAAGGCCAGGGGATGACCGTGGAACAGACAATCACTTGCTCATATGAAAGTTCAAGGTGAAGTTGTAGAAAATCAAAACAAGTCCTCCAAAGACAAAATACAACCTTGAATATATGTTACCTGAATTTAGAAACTATCTCAAGAACACATTTGAAACATTGAAGCCTAACGGATGAAAATAAGCCGAGTGTGGGATCCTATCAAGGGCCCTGTACACAAAGAAAGTCAAAAGTTATTAAAAGAGACAAGAAAGAAAGAAAAGACCAAGGTGGTTGTCAAAAGAGACTGAAAATTGCTCTTTAAAGTAGAGAAGTTTAAATGAATAGAAGAAATGATAAAGTCAAAGCTGAGGAACTAGGCAGACATCCCAAATAGACCCTCTACAACAAAGACATGAGAGACCAAATGGAACAGTTATAGTTGATAGTACTGGAACTCAGAACTAAATAGATCCACCTAGAGATAAGTGGTCTTGATGAAGGGTCAAAACACTTAAATAGGGACGAGACAGTCTCTTTAACAATTGAGTGACTGTTCCACAGTGGGCCCCTGGGCTTGCTTTGGCTGATAATATTGAGCTTCTCCATCAACGTTCCCCACAGATGTAGTCAATTTTATTCCTGTATATTCCATCCGGTAATGCCTAAGCGTATAGTGTCCATTTATAATATTGGAAAAAGGTATTTGTAATGAAAGAGTCAGTGGTCTTGCAAATTTCTCTCATGTGATCATTAATGGTATGTTTGATAAATTTCAAACCAAAAATGTTGTTATAATTCTTCATTTTCCCCATCACTGGTTTTAGTGGTTGGTGTATAAATTTGAATAATGATTGCCCTAACTAGACTTCCTTATAGGCATATAGATCCTATTGCAGACAGGCTTGTGCTTCAAGACAGTCCTTGAAATGTTCTTTTCGAAGATGAATTTGACTCCATCCCTCTGGATGTGTCATTCCCAAAATAGTTAACCATATGATTGTCTGACTCAAAATAGCCCATACCAGTCCATTTCAGCTCATTAATGCCTAGGAGATGGAATTTTATGTGTTCCATTTCATATTGATGACTTATGTTATTAGACTCATATTTTTTACATTGCATGTTCTAATTATTAATGGGTGGATTTGTAGCTGTTTCTTCTCATCCTGAGTCACTGAAAGTCCTGAAAGCTTTACTCCATCCAGGTTTTTAAATTTTAGTCTACTTTGAGGAAGCAGCTCTTTCCAAGTTGTTTTTTGAACGCCTCCAAGCTGAGGGGGCTCATCTTCTGGAACTGTATCTGACAATGTTCTGCTGGTATTCAAATGGTTTCTATGGCGAATCCCTCAGAAGTGAGCATTCTATTCCTTCTATCTCGTCTGTGCTTAGTCTGGAAGCCTGGTATAACCTGCTCATCATGGGTTTTGGTATGGGATATACTGATGGCATAACTTCCAGCAACACACACACACACACACACACACACACTACTACAGTATGACAAACTGATAGATATAAATATAAGAACATAGATGCAAAAATTCATAACAAAATGCTAGCCAATAGGTTCCAATAATGTATCAAAAAATTAATGCACATGACCAAGGGGGACTCAAGTCACATGTGCAAGGACTGAACTATATTAGAAAAATAATCAATGTAATCATCACATAAGGAAAACAAATGAAAATGACTACATGTTCACATCAGTTGACACAGAAAAGGCACTTAATAAAACCCAATACCTATTTCTGATAAAAACACTAAAAAAATAGGAATATAAGGGAAATTCCTGAACTTAATAAAGGCATGGATACAAAATCAATGGTCAAGGTTACTCTAAGAAGGGAGGAACAAAAAGCACTTCCCTTGTGAATGGGAAGGATGCCTTTTATCACCACTCCTATTCAACATTGTCCTGGAAGTCTTAGCCAGAGCTACCAGATACAAAAGGGAAATTAAAGACATCCAAGTTGGCAATGAAAACGTAAGATTTTACCTGTAGATGATATGACCCTATACATCCTATACATAGAAAGTACCAATGTCTTGGCAAGAACATTGTTGGAAGTTATTAAAGTATTCAACAAAGTGTCAGGGTACAAGATCAACATACCAAAAAAGCTAATGAAGAGAGCTTTGAAAGGAAGATCAGGAAAACAATACCCTTTACAATAGTCAGCCAAAATATGAAATCATTAGGAATAAACATACCCAGAGAAACAAAATACCTATACAAAGAAAACTATAAAATATTACTACTAGAAACTAAAACAGATCTACATAATGGATGAATATATCTAGTCACTCCAAATATGAAGTCATTAAGAATAAATATATCCAGAGAAACAAAATATCTGTATGAAGAAAACGATAAAATACCACTACTAGAAACCCAAACAGACCTACATAAATAGAAGAATATACCATGCTCATGGATAGGAAGATTTAACATTGTGGAAATGTGAGTACTACCCAAAGCAACCTACAGATTTAGTACAATCTTGATCCAGATTCCAGCACCATTCTGGAAGGAGATTGGGGAAAAAAAAGAAGAAGAAGAATCACCAACTCTATAAGGAAACGGAAGAAGGCCCCTTTCAGCTGTTTTAACATATCCCTAACCCACTGCCATATAATCAATTACAGCTCATAGTGACTCTTCATAGGGTTTCTGAGGCTGCAAATCTTTATGGGAGCAGATAGCTTCATTTAGCACCCACAGTGCAGTTGCTGGGTTTGAACCATGAATCTTAGCAGTCCAACACTTACCTTATAACATATGTGGCACCCATGAGCAATCCAATCAGACTCTATATGGCAAATACACTTGTTGAATCTCTATGCTCAGAAGTGTGCTCTAATCACTCTACACACAGAAAGCCGATTGCAACTTTCAAGGGCAAATTTTCAATCTCCTCCACACCCCAAGCATCCTCACACACCCGGTCTTCAAGGACATCAGTGGAAGGAAGATTTACAAAGGGGGCACGGAGATTATTGCCTTTGAGCTGCTGCTAATCCTGGCATCCTTCTGGGGTGAGTAGGGCAGGTGGTGAGGCAGCTGGCCCAGTGTTGCCAATGCACCATATTGACAGTACACAGAAAAGAACACTGGACAGGAGGACTTTCTGTGTTGTCCTAACAGGCCAGAATGGAGGCAGGTGCTTGGAGCATGATTTTTCTCTTAGAACAGCAGTTTCTCTTCAGCTTCCCACTTCCATCTTCTTTGTACGTAGTAAAAAGTAATGCTCACTGCCATCAAGTGGATGCTGACTCACAGCCACTCTACAGGACAGGGTAGAACTGCCACTGTGAGTTTCAGAGACTATAATTCTTTATGGGAGCAGAAAACTGAACTCAACTCACTGCCACCAAGTCGATGCCGACTCATAGTGACCTTTCTGTTGGTTTCCTAGACTGGCACTGTTTACAGGAGTTGAGAGGTGTCTCTCTCGTGGCGTGGTTGGTGGTTTAGAACAGCTGACCTTGTGGATGGCAGCCCAATGTGTAACCACTATGCAACCAGTGCTCCCTTTTTAATGTTAAAATGTCTCATAAATGTCCTGGGTTCATAATACCAAGCACTCCTTCCATGTTCATGAAAAAAATGCCATAGCTTGGAAGATGCCTGGCTATCAAAAGACATAGCATCTGGAGTCTTAAAGGCTTGAAAATAAATAAGCGGCCATCTAGCTGAGAAGCAACAAAGCTCGCATGGAAGAAGCACACCAGCCTGTGTGATCATGAGGTGTCAATGGGATTAGGAATCAGGCATCTAAGACCCAGAACAAAATCATACCCAGTGTGAATGAAGGGGGTATATGTCGGGTAGTGGAGACCCAAAGCCCATCGGTAGACAATTGGACATCCCCTTATAGAAGGGTCACAAGTAAGAGATGAGTCAGTCCGGGTGCAGTATAGCACTGATTAAACACACAACTTTCCTCTAGTTCCTTATTGCTTCCTTCCCTCCACTATCATGACCTCAATTCTACCTTACAAATTGGACTAGGCCAGAACATGCACACTGCTACAGATAAGAGCCTGAAACACAGGGAATCCAGGATAGATAAACCCCTCAGGGCCAACAATGAGAATAGGGATACCAGGAGGGTAAGGGGAAGTTACAGGGAGAAAGGAGGAATTGATCACAAGGATCAATATATAATCCCTTCCCAGGGGGCTGAACAACAGATAAGTGGGTGAAAGGTGACAGAGGATGATTAAAGATGTGAAAATAATAATCTATAACTTATCAAGGGTCCATGAGGGAGGGCAGGAGAAGGAGGGAGGGGGACAAATGAGGAACTGATATAAAGGGCTCAAGTAGAAAGGAAATGCTTTGAAAATGATGATGGCAGCATATGTACACATGTGCTTGACACAGTGGATGATTGTATGGATTGTGATAAGAGATGTAAGAGCCCCCAGTAAAAGTATTTAATAAAAAAAAAAGAAGAAGAAAGAAAAAATACCATAGCTTCTTGAACAGACAAATGAACTCTCATGCACTAAGTGCCCCTCTTGGTCCCTGTTGCCATGCCTACCTTCCACCTGGCCCCAGTGAGTGACAGTGCTCCTGGGGAAGAGGGGTGTCATTCTGCTCATCAGTACCACCCCCCACTCGTGTTACTACCCCAATCACTGAGTGTGAGAAGAGTCACCTGCAGGGGCTTCTGTTGGAGGATGGTGATGTCCCGAGAGTGAGTGCGGTTGTACCCACGGGACTTGAGCGGCCGGTAGACGCAGCACATGGTGAAGCAGATGATGTAGAGCAGGTAGATGGTGCTCAGCACACAGAAGTACGGCCGCCCGTACTGCTTCCACTTGAGGCTGACCAGCTCCTTCACAGGCGTCTGGTCCAGGATCTGACGTGCCTGCAGCAGCAGAGAGTGCTGCTCAATTTGACCAACACGAAGGCTGGGACCCAAAGGGGCAGGGCAGGTAGCCATTCCCTTTCCAGATAAGTGGTCGGCAATTCTGCATGCTGGGCCTTGTCGTGCAAGGGCTGCAGATAAACTACTACAGACCAGAGAGGCTTTGAAGGATGAGCAGCAGGTGATTGCATGAGGGGAGGGACTAAGAAAGATCATTCCCTCAAGCAGCCTCAGTTGGCAAAGCAAGAAGGTAGGATGAGAAGCCACGGCCCGTTTGCAGGTGAGGTGGGGTGGGGATGTGGGGAGATCTCTTGGACGTGGTGAAGGAGACAAAGGCCAGGCCATCCTACATTTGACACAGAGGTAGGGAGTTTGCTTTCTTTGGTAAGGAAACAGAGAACAATGGGAGGATTCCGGCGTATTTTCCCAGCACACCCTGTGGACTGGGGGACAGTCACAGAGGGCACAGATGGCAGGATGTGGGGGTGCCCCAGGCCAGGTGAGAGGGTCCTCTGATGGGCAGTCGCCAGTGAGGGGTTGAAGCCCCCAGTGACATGGGGCAATGGATGGGATGAGGGCCTCAATAGGAAGAACAGATTCTAAGCCCAGGAGGAGGGATGAGCCATCAGTGGACAGTGTGCCTCCCCTGGGGCCTATAGAGGATACAGGCATACCTGCCAGGTAAGGGCCGGAGGTCTAGGGTATTCTAGTCTTGTTTTCTTCATAAGATATATGAGTCAAGGGCTCCTGTGGAACTAAGGGTTGGAGTACCACCAGATGTCCTTGAGCTCATTCAACTCATAGAGGCATCTTGTGCACTCAACTCCCGGGACACAGCTGCTGCTCCCTATTCTGAATGAATGATGAACAAATGAATGAATGAATGAATGAATGAACGAGCAGGTAAGCAGCAGGACAGAAGTATCTCCCAAGAGGAAGGTGGCTCCCTTGAAATGTAAGCAGAGGTGCAGGAAGGGCTGGAGCTCAGAGGGGAGAGAGCAGGAGAGGGAGGGTGGTGGGACCAGGGTCTGCTCTAGATGGATCTCCCCAAGGTGGAGGAAGCCATCCCCTGCAGGACAGTGGCTGCCCAAGGCTGCCCCTCCTGGACACCGTACCTCCCGCTTCTTGGAGGAGACCACGAGCTCGAGAAAGGACAGCTCCTCCCCGCAGGAGTCGATCTCGGTGAGGTCGTAGAGGGTGGAGGTCAGCGGTCCGTACGTCCACTGGATGTGCTTCCGGCGCTGCATCAGGTGCTGGAACATCTGGGGGTGGGGCAGCGACAAAAAGGGCTGGTTGCCTATTTGGGGACAGTCACCAGAGGTGGGTGGGGCTCCTCTGGGGACAAGACCACCGGTCACCTTCCTGGGGCTGGTCACTGGGTGGGACAAGGACCGTTGGAGTGGACAGCTTCAGCTCTTCTGTGACCCCAGCCCCCTCTCTCATCCTGTTCCCAGAGCCCGAGGGCTGGTTCTCTGAGGGCGGAAGGGCACAGGGGATACCAGGAGGGATGGGGATAGTCAGACAACCGGAGAGCAATATGGTGGGGCAGAGAAAGGGTCCCTCCACCTGGGCTGGGGGCAGGGGGCATGAGCCCAAGGACCTTAAGAGCCAGCATGGGGGCCAGGGCGCCAAGGAGCGGGGCTGGGGGTGCCCTTACCACTGTGTTGCCCTCCACCCCAGCCAGCTTGAAGGGGGTGAGACCCTGGTGGTTAGGCACGAGGTCCAGGGACTGCAGGGGGTCGCCCCCACGCCCATCATGGGACAGCAGCAGGTTGTACATCTGGCAGGCGAAGGTCTTGTTGGGCTGCAGGGTGAGGATGTGCAGCACGGTGTTCCCTGGGAGGACAGGGTGTCACGTGGCCGCCCCATCCAGGCCCAGGGAGCCACCCCCCCCCCGGCCCCACCCTTCTTACCCAGGGCATCCTGGGCGCGCAGGTCGGCTCCGTTCTCAATGAGCAGCCGCACGATCTCCTCACTGCCCACGCAGGCGGCAAAGGACAGCGGGTGCTCCCCTGGGGGCAGAGCACACTGCGGCTCAACTCAGGGCCGCGTGGGGAACAGGAGCGCGGAACCCTGCGCATGCCCACCAGGACCCTGGCTCTCACCAAAGTAGATGAGGTTGCGGGGGCTGCGGCAGAAGGCGGTCCCAGTGGCTCGGGCTGAGACGCTGGCCCCATGGGCGAGCAGAGCTCGGACCAGGTTCACGTTCTGGTTCACGATGGCTATGTGCAGCGCGGTCTGGCCTGGCCAGAGAGGGCGTCAGGGGCACTGTCCCCGCGAGGGTTGACCTTTTCCCCAGGGCGGGTGGAGGGCTGAGGGCTGAGGTGTGAGCATCAGCTATGAGGCAGGGGCTCCCCACATGCCCAGGCAGGTGATTTGAAATGCATACTCCTCTAGCCTACAGCCAGCTTCTCCTGCCTAGTCCCCAGCCTCCCCATCACACCTCACAGGCCTGGGCCCCAGCCTCACCCTCGTACAGCTCGGAGATCATGGGCTCCCGGACCAGCTCCGGGGCCGCCTCCATCAGCAGCAGAGCCGCCTCCAGGTTGTCGTAGAGCGCAGCCACGTGCAGCGCCGTCTCCCCCAGGGCTCCTGGGGGTGGTGGGGGGTGGTGGTGGTGGTGGCGACAGAGATGCCAGGTCCTTCCAGAGCCCCACAAGGACGGGCCCAGCGGACCCCTTTGCCCTTTGTGAAAACACCCAGAGCCAGGGTGCTGGGGCAGCCGTCTGACCCACCCATTGCCAGTGCGCCCACCTCTCTGTGCAAAGTCGCAGGCTCTGTCCAGCCGGAGTTTCTTCAGGGCACACAGGTCGTTCGCTTTGGCCGCCTGGAGCAGTGGCGACTCTCGGATCCTGGGGGACAGTGAGCACAAGTTGAGGGGCTTGTGGGCTGTCTATCCCCTCCTGGCTGCCGGGGACTGGGCTGCCAGTCCCTCTGATTGGGGGGCTAATTCTTCGCTGTCTTTTTCTGTCGTGGTCGAGGGTAGGAAATACTCAGCGAAACATCACAGTGAGCCGAAGACTGAGGTAGCGGGGAAGCAGGGTCCCATCCCAGGACTCTCTCCCACGGCCACTGAGCTGGAAGAGGGGAGCTCTCTGTGAATAGGGCGGGGGTGGGACTCAGACTTGCCCCCTTGATGCCCAGTCCCCTATCCCTGTTCTTGATGCCAAGGTTCGGGGCCTGACACCTAGGGCAGGGAGCAGGCAGCTGGGCAGATGGAGCCCACGGCCTGTTCTGAGGCCTGTCCAGCCCCTTATAGAGCTACCCACAAAGGAGTTGTTGGGGTCAAAGCCTGAAGGTCCCACCTTGGGACCTGAGATGGGGGTAGTGGTCAGCTTGCAGCCACCCAGCAGGCGGGGTCAGGCTGGATGTTGGTGCATCAGGTGAGACTGGGCCCCCAACACCCCAGGAAGGTGGGCAGTGGCCTACCTGCACCTGGGAGGCCACCCTGAAATGCTCCCTCCAGGAGCCTCACCAAGGCAGTCTCTAAGACTGGTGAGCTGGACACACAGGGTTTCTCCTCCTCGTCTCCCAGCTGCTCCTCCGTGAGGTTGACCCCCTGACTGCCCTCTGCCCTGCCCCCAACAGGCAGCCCGGCCTGGGGGTGCGGGGTACCCACCTCTTCTGCTGCTGCATATGGGCCTCATCCAGACGCCGCTGCCAGCTCCCTTCTCTGATGAACCAGGAGCTCAGACGCTTCTGCAGCAGGGCCCAGGGTCGCTTAGCCTTGCGTGGGGGTGCCCCCATGCCCCCCGCCAGGACCCTAGAGTACTTTGCCTCCTAGAAGCAGGTGGACCCTGAGGGTACCCCAGTGTGTGTGTGTGTGTGTGTGTGTGTGTGTGTGTGTGCACGTGTCAGTGTTTTGTGTGTCTATGTGCTCCGTGTGTCTGTCTATACGCCTGTGTTTCTGTCTGTGATACCTGTGTCTCTGTTCCGTGCTTGTGTGTGTCTATTCTATGTAAATGTGTGTCTGTGTATACCTATGTGCCTGTCTATGTGAGCCTATGCGTATCTGTCTGTGTGTCTGTCTGTCTGTGTGTCTGTCTGTCTGTGTGAGCCTGGGTGTTCGTTCCTTGTGTGGGATCCTGAGTGGGTGTGGTTTTCCTGCCGGGGGAGGAGCCCTCTCTCCAGCTGAGCCAGGGGCAGCACAGGGCCTGAAGGGAGGGGACCCAGGAAGGGGAGGGGATAACACCCAGCAGTGGCCTAGGGCAGAGGACTCGGGAAGGGGCCAGGACAGACAGAAGGTGTTCCCAGAAACTTGGCCGATGCAGGGCAGGGTCTGGGGCAGGAAGACCTCTGGCTTTTGGGACAGAGGTCCCGTCTGGGTCCTGCCTCTAAGCTGTCACAGCCTGTTATCTCAGCATTTCTCTAACCTGTAAATCAGGGTAGAATCACAGTGCGGGGTGGGGGTGGCCGGTCACCTTCCTGGGGGGGTGGTGGTGGTGGTGAGGAGGGTGGAGAGCCTTGCGACTGATCTACCTGTGGTCACCTCTGCTTCACCTCAAGGGAGGAACATGAGTGACAAAGAGCCCCCACCCTGGAGACCCCACGTGGACACGGCCAGCCAGAGGAGCCCCAGGGGTGCAGCCTCTGCAGAGAGGTGCTGGGGTGGGGGCAAAGGCTGTTAGCTTCTGGGGTTGGCCTCTCCTGGGAGTGAGCCAGCCAGCGGGAGGAGTGCAGCACAGCAGCAGGGACACCACTGTATTGGGGGAAGTGTTGTCTTCCGGGGACTGCTTTGCCCAGGGCTGTAAACATGTCTCGATTCTCAGCGCCAGGACCTGGGAGGCACATGGGACTAGGGCACTCTCAGGACGAGCAGATGTCCAATGGCACCGGCCAGATCCTCCGGACAGAACCCTGTGACCTTGACTTTAGATGCTTGAACTGGGACACATGAGGGGGGGCAGTCTTGCTTGGGGTGGGGGTTCAGGCATAGGGCCACCCCCTCCTGTGCCATAAGACAGAGCCTGCTTGACAGCTTGGACTCAGTGACCTGTAGAGAGCTGGCCTTCAAGGAAAATAAATAGGGGGAGGGAGGGAGGGAGAGGCAGGGGGTCGCAGTGTGGGGCTGGTTTCTGGCCGGCTCTAATTGCCTCTGAGCCCTGGGACTCCCAGGCTAAGGAGATGGCGGAGTGATAAGGGGGTGGGGGCCATAGATGCGCAGATAAGGCAGAGCTGGAAAGCACCCGTGAGGAACTGGGCCGGGCGAGGCTGCCAGTCAGAGCCGCATGGAGCAGGAGTGGTTGTGCAGGCACTATTAGGCCTTGCCCGCCCACTGCCCTTCTCTCTGTCCCCTGGTGGGGGAGGGGTGTCCAAGGACCTGGGTGGGGTCCATGTGCCCCTCCTGTCCCAGCTGTGAGGGCCGAGTCATAACCCCACAACCCTGCTGCCCCAGATGCAGCCTTGGTGGCAGAGTAGGTTTCCCATTAGGCAGCTAACCACAAGGTCAGCAGTTCGAATCCACCAGCTGCTCCAAGGGAGACAGATGGGCCCTTTTGTTCCCAGAAAGCCTCAGAAACCCACAGGGGCGGCTCTGCAGGAGAGTGAGTGTGGAGAGTTTTAATTTCACAATGCCCCTCTACCTTGGATGTGTCTTCTACCTAGACCTCATGCCCTGGGCTCTCCGCTCCCTTCTGGCTCTCCTTCTGTGCCCCTCTCATTCTTCTCAGGGTTCCCTGGGTCCATGCAGCCCCTACCCATAGGCTGCGCCTCCTCTCCTGGTCCCAGACTGGCTCAACCTGGCGTGTAGCCCCATGACCTCAATCCAGTGGGTGTGTTTCTGTCACCTGTTCTTGGCCAGTGCCCAGTACTGGTTCCCCAGGCCCAGCATCCACTCCCTTCTCCGGCCCGCTCGCCGCTTCCACCCAGTGTAGAGAGTCCCGATGCTGCACTGTTCATGTGCCCTACTTCCTTGGGCCCACCTCCCCCCAAATGCTGTCAGTGCTTCTAGGTGAGGAGATGTGCCACTAGTGGGGACCAAGCATGGGCAGAGAGCTGCCTGCTCTCCGAACAGCTGTCCACCTTCTCTCCCCCTCCCACTCCATGTCAGTCCATGTCCACACCCTGCCTTCCACATAACCTCTCCGACACCCCAGCCCAGACGAGTCCATTGCAGGTGAGGCAGCAGCCCGGGGTCCCTCAGGGTCGCTCTCATCTCTGCCTCAGCCTGGGCCCCTGGGGTACCAGCAGGCCACCCCCTTAGGGGAAAACCTAGTCAGGCATGGGCGGGAGGGGGGTGGGAGTGGGGGACTTCACCATGTAGACTCACAAGGGTTTGCCCAGCAGGATCTTGCTTGGTCCCTCACTGAGTAGTCTTGACCCCCTCCATTTCCTCATCTATATAATGGGCCCATGAACACACTGGATCTAATGATGGAAAGGGTCCACGCACATACGTATGTGTGTGTGTGTGTGTAAGTCTACATAGCCCAGGAGACACCATCTCAACAAGTTCTCCATACAATCCTGTCATGGCGCTTATAGGTATTCAAGTAGTGCTCCCACCCACCCACAGGCCCTCTGCCCTTCTCTGGGGCTCAAAGACCCCTGGGCTCGCCCCTCAACTTGTCCAGGAGCCATGTGCATAATAGCCAATTGATTTGGCCCTTCTAGCCATAATTCCTATGTGATAGGTTAGAATTCTGGACTTTTGGGGCCTGTGGCTACACTCTCTGCTACGCTAGTGATGACGCAGGGGTCAATGGTTTGAAATCACTGGTCACCCCGTGTGAGAAAGATGAGGTTTCCTGCTCCCAGAAAGAGTGACAGTCTCAGAAACCCACAGGGGAAGTTCTGCTCTGTCTTATAGGGGGACCATGAGGCTGCCGCCACTTGATGGCAGTGACCGAGTTAGTAGAAGGTGTGAACCCAGCCCCACCCTTCATTTCCTTGGGGATGTCTTTATGCTACCTTAGTAGAGGGTGTGACTCCCTTTGTTTTCCTTGATTAGAGACTGGTCCCACCACCGGCTCTCACTCACTCTGCCGCACCGGGTGAGCCAGACCTCGGCTTCCTGATGGAGCTTTGGTGGAAGCAAGAAGACCTGCTGTCATTATGGGACATTCTTGACATCCGATCTGGCCCTGCATTTGGCTCACCTCTGCCTGGCCTTTGGAGCTGGGACCGAACCGCACCCACCACCCAAGAGTTTCTCCCCCAAGCCCTGTGAGTTTTGGGAGGTCCTGGTAGTGTCCCACAAACCCCAGGGACGCAAGGGACTGGAGTTGAGGGAGGAGTGGGGGGAAATGGAGCAGATTCCTTATCTTGGAAGAGTTAGACATTTGGGCCATCTTAAATCTCCAGCTCCTTGGGACTGGTCTAGGGTTAATTCTTTTCAAAGAAAGGAGCCCAGCTTGGTCAGTCTCACATCACATGGACAGTTCTTGAAATGAGTGTGCAGTCCAAAGCAGGTGTGCTAATTCAGCTAGTTTTTTTTGAGGCGAGTGGAAGGGGATTGCAGGGGGGTGGTTCGAAGAAGACTCCGGACAGCCTGGATTCCATTGAAAACTTGGAATTCTGTTCTGCACGTCGGCTCTGTTAATCAGGATCCTTCCGCAGAATCTTTGACCAAAAAGTCCAGAGATGTCTTTATCACTGAACACCCACTCTGGCCTTCCCAGAAGCCTCCCTGGCCCCTGCTGGCTGCCTCCCCCTTGCAGGGCAATGGAACCCTCTGGGAGCCAGACCTTTTCTGTGACCTCACAGAGCCCAGGAAGCCAGAGGCCCCATGGGATGGAAGGGAGAAAGCAGCGCTAGGCAGTGGTGAGGGCCGGGCAGGGGAAGGGGAGGTTGTGGGCCAGCGGCAGGGGGTGGGGGGCAGGCCCATGACACCTCTGGGCCCCCAGTTGCACAGGGTCGCAATCCTGGCTACCCTCCTGCTGCTGATGCTTCGAGTGAAGGGGGTGAGGCCGCCAAAGGAGATTGCAGACTCCGCAGAGAGCAGCCCGAAAGAGACCCTGCCGGCCACAGGTGGGGAGCCGGGGGAGGAGGTATATGGGGTGGGCCTGCTTGATCCTCCAGCATGGTAGGAGGCAGCCAGGGCTTGCTGCAGCAGGCCAGTGTCTGGAGCCACGTTCATACCTGGCCAGGCTGCCTGAGCTCCAGGGCGCCTGCATGAGTGAGTGCCTCTGCGTGTGTGTGTATGTGTGTGTGTGTGTGTGTGTGTGTGTGCCCACAGGCATCTCTGTCAGGGGAGGATGCCCAGAGGAGGAGGGGAAGCCAGAGGGGGGCGTGGCTGGGTTGGAAGAGCTTATATAGGCCCAGGACTGGGGTGAGCCCCGGGGCCCACACGCTGGGCGGGTGGCCCCGGGGCAGACGCTGCTCTCGTGCCCAGATCAGGACGAAGAACAGCTGGAAGAGCGCTTTGTGGCCTCCTCCATGGGGGAGATGTGGCAGCTTCTGGACATGGCCCAGCAGGAGGACAAGGGGGCGGAGACGGCTGCCCTGCGAGAACACCTCTTTGACCTGGCCTTCTGCCTGAACTTGGCCAGCATCCTGGTTTTTTTATGAGGGACATTGAGGCCGAGGTCCTGGCCTGGCTCCTGGACGAGGACTTGGCTCTCTACCTCCGCTTCATGATCATGTACTGACCCCTGACCCCTGGCCTCTCTCCGAGGCAGCAGCATCGCCCTGCCCCTTCACAGCCCAGGGCCAGAGACCCCATCGAGCCCAGGGTTCCACCCCCATGAGGTTCCAGGTTGGTTTTGCCTGGGACAAAGGACTGGGGAGGAGGGCCAAGACCAACGCGGTGGCAATAAATCTTGAACATAATGGGGGCGGTTCCTTGAGACTTCACCTGGACCCCTGTCACCACCAGGCTGGTTAATCGTCCAACCCTGATACCCACTCACTGACCTTCAGTCCCTCGGCTTCCAGCTTGGTGCTGGCCCCTCCTCTTCTCCTGGTGGGCCGGCTGGGAAGCCCCATGGGGGGGAAGCCTGGAGCATCTTTAATTTCTCAATGTGGGGTCGGGGGAGATGGGCCTGCCCCGTGGACAGGCTGGGGCATGCAGAGGTGTCCCTAGGGAGGGTCTCAGGCAGCCAGGTTACCAGAGCTGGCAGCGGCTGGAGGGGTTCATGGGGGCCCCCCAGGGACAGCTGAAGTGCCTGGCAAAGGCCCGAGTGTTGCTGAGTGGTCCGTGGACTCGCAG